GTGTAGCGGAAAAAAGACCGTGGACAAGTAAACGTACCAAAATTTGAATTTATTGGAAAGAAAAAGTTTGCTTACAGATCTATTGTCAGTGGCAACACCGGAGATGACAAACATCAAAAGGAACGATGCGATGAACTCAATGACCAAGGATTGTGCGTTGGAGCCCACAGGCAGTGTCCCAAAATAAGCTTCTTTTGGAACATCTAACAAAACGTACAAACTCCCACTTGCAAGGATTGACCCAACCAACTGCGCCAATATGTATAGTGGCACCTACACATATATACATATATATAACAACAAAACGCATCTACAATTTTCTACTTCAAAAAATTTACTAGAAAGGAAAATTAGTAATAAGGATGAAGATGTGTATAGACATGGCCAACGGTCGAACCGGCCCGGATCAAGCGGTTTTTGAACCGAATTCTTACCCTTTTTAAGGGCCGGTTCAGGTCGTGTTTGTCTCTTTTTTGACAAGCCGGGGTGGGCAGGTTCTGGGTCAATTCAGAGTCGTGAGACAGGTCGTAATTGTTTTTTTATTTTTTATTTTATTTTTAAAAAACTTGAACCGCCAGGTCGGGCCAATTCATTTGAACAGGGCCTTAGATATAGCGGGCCGGTTCTGGGCCCAGCATTTGAGGCCGTCGACCCGGCGGGCCAGGCCGGGTCGTGAACCGGCCCAGCCTTTGAAACACGTCTAGATGTGAACCACACCTGCTTGTAAGGGAAATGCCTAAAAAGGGCGAAAGTAATGGTGACCGCCGGATTAAAATGGGCGCCGGAGATGTGGCCAACCGAATACACCATGATCATCACCGTCAACCCCCACGAAACGCATATGCCCGGAAATGTTACGGAACCGTAAATTTTTTCCACGGCAACCGAACCGCACCCCATAAATATCAAAAAATACGTCCCAATCACTTCTGCAATCACCTAAACATTTTTTTTAAAAAAAAAAAAACTATATATGTGAGTAATTAGGTTAAGATATAGTTACAAAATTTATGATAATGCCAATAGGGAAACATATATTCTGGAATATGTTGTTAATTAATCCTTGTATTTTATACATCACATACATGTCAAGTTCATAAATAATATTTCACATGGCCACGGGCCAACCCAGCCCGGCCCGGTTTTCGTCGGTTCGTTGAACCAGAACCTTGGCCATGCGGGCCGATTCCGGTTCTTAGTTTTTATCTTTTTTCGGTCCCGGCAGTCTGGGCCGGGCCGCGGCCCGTGGAATGGCCACGTCTAATTGCATGAATAGAATGTGAGTATAAATATAAGAAGCTAACATATATATTGAAGTAAAATGTTATAAAATGGGTCCTACTTTTTGAGTGACAACTACAACAGTGGTTGAGGTGCAGAAGGATGAACCATCTTCATTATCTCGCTGAGTAATGCCATATTCATTTCCTGATATGTCCCTCGGTGACATCTCCTTTGTCATTTGATTTGCATGTATTGATTTTATTTTATTTTCTTTATGAAAGTGAGAACAAAAGAAAATATGAAGAGAGTTTGGAGTTAGAGGTATAGGTAATTTGCCTCGAATAAGTCGGAGGTGAATGGTTATCCTGATTTGGGGAATGACTAATTAAGGACAAGAGATGTTGCTAACTTCTTTCAATGGTGTATAACTAGTGAAGCCAAAAGTTGGCTTCGTAGTGGAGCCAATAGTTAGTTTCGTAGTGGAGCCAACCTTCTATGTATAATAAATAAAGTTACCATTCTAACAAAATTATATTAACGTTATTTAAGTAATCAAAGAATATAGTAGGTTTATTTATTGTATATAGAAAATTGGCTCCACTATGAGCCAACTGATGGCTTCGTAGCAAAACCGGTATAACTAGTCATGTTCCAAATTCTCATATATTTAATACATTTTTTTAATAATAATGAATAATTTATAAAATATTACATCCATAGTTTGGAAAATTGTGTAAAATTTTAGTAGTGAGAATAATATATTTACAACAATAAGAGTAAAACAAAATGTTTATTATATTGTTAGTTAAATTATTGAGTGTATGTGGTCAATGGGCCTCCACTTGTGTTGTACATTTTCTAAAGGAACTTGAGAAAGATTGAGCAAAATCCTTTGCATGTTGTTTTTGAAAAGCAACTCAATGTTGCTTTGACATTGTAATAGCAAATTTTCATCAGCATGCATGTATATATATGTAGCGCCCGTTTACTTTATCATTAGGAAATCGCAGAGTTTTTAATAATATTTTGAACTTTTCAAAACTTTTTAACTTCAAAATCTTTTTTTCGGGCATTACTGAAAACTTTTTCTTGTCAAAACTTTCTAAAATACTTTTCCTTTTTTTACAAGCTTAACCTAAGTCTCACACTTAGGTTCTTGGAGAAATCACTTCACAAACTTCTTTATTGCTTCTCAAACAATCGAGACATGATAAAACTTTCAAATACTTGGTCTTAATCGAAATAACTGTGTCTCAGTCTACAATCATAAAATGGCTAAAACAATCATTGAGCTTGTAAAAATGTCTGCGGAAGCATAAACATAAATAAGATTATTTTGACCACCCTCGTCCTCTCGTGTCCACCGCCAACTGCTCAACCTGAAAATAATAATTGTTGACGATGAGTAAAACACCTAGCTCACTGTGGGAACGATGCTATGAGTTATTCAAAGTAATAACAAATACCATGATATTAGAATGAAACATGAATAAACTGATCATATTGCCCCTCAGAGGCGTTGTCCCTCATAGGCAGGGTTATAAAAGTTTTGCTCCTCACAGGCAGAATTATATATGAATGCACCTCACAGGATTAATACTTATGCAACATACAACAACCATAATATCATGTAATTATTAGGAATAGGACATAGTAAAGAAACACCCCACCTTAGTTCGAATGCTGAATGACATCCGGATGTCTCAAAGTGATGCTCGAGGGATCGATTGCTCGAAATCTACAATTCGAGAAATTTAGCTTTTATATATAACACATCTTTCTCTTGGTAAATTAAGTTACAAACTTAAATAAAACCCATTCATTTTTAAAACTTCTTGGCTTAATAAATAAATTAACTTAATTTTTCAGAGCCCTCGGCTGAGGGCAGAATAAAGTTCAGAAAAAAGTTCTCAGAACTAAAGTTAAGGTTTGACACGAAAACATGTTCAAAGGCTCGAAAGATGTCTTGGTATGCGAATAGGTGTTGGCGGGGATCGGCTCGGTTCTGACCGTGCTGGTACTAGTCGTCTGGTCCTTGGATGGTGTAGGTCGCCCGGGCGCTACTCTGCTCGAAGTGGCTCGACGCTGCCCAGTCGTTGCGGCTCGCTGTATGGGTACACGGGTCTAGTGGGGGCTGCAGGCACGCTCGCGCGTTGGGATGCTGAGAGGCTAGGATGCGGGGATGTGCTACGGGTTGCTGGGGACGGACACTGGTATTTGGGACCGCACGTTGGCACAGAAGCTGCGCGTACATTTGCGCATGCTGGGACACGCAATTGCTGAAAGACGCAGGGAATGACGCACAACACTCAGGCGACGACAGCTGCGGCACAACACGAGGTGACTGGAGTGTTGCATCGTGACATGGTGCACGTTGCATGCCTGCGAGGCACGATGCGTTGTCTAGGCCAATGATCTCCCGGTGTACGGCGACTCCTGTCTAGCTAAAGATCTGAGGTTGTTAAGGCTCAATTTTCATGTGTGATTTTACACCATATACATATAGTATCTAGAGCTTATTTGTTGCATTATTGGTGAATAAATTGCATATTTGTGCTTTAATTCTATATTTGTTGGAAAGGTATTACACGTGCTTGTTTTGTAGATATTTTCACATATTTGTAGAGCTTTGGCTATTGGAGGAGCACGGTGAGTGCCTGAGACTCCCGGGATAATGATAGATCGATGCACGGATGAAGAGAATGGAAGAAACGAGCAAAACGGGCCGAAAATGAGCGTACAGAGGTGTGAGACGACCCATGACACGGGCTCTCAGGTCGTGTCACGACTCGTGTCATCCAACAGAAGAGTGTAAGAACAATACCTGTGACATGACCTGCGACACGACCCATGACACGGGCGTGTCGGGTCGTGTCGCGCGCGCGGACAGTTTTTATTCCCTTGCCTTTTTGGATAAGGAGAGGAGTTTTGGACATTAAAAAGAGCATATTAACCCTATTATGAGGGAAAAACATAGAGAATACAAGGAGAATAGCCCTAGAACACATAAGAGAAGCAATTGAGGAGCAAAAGAAAGATCAACTACGAAGGAATCAAGAAGATTGCAAGATCGACGAGATTTCTAGTTTTTATTTCTTCTTTCCTCTTGAACTTTTATTGATCATGTCGATTTCTAATATGTCTATATGTTTGAATTCGAACATGAGTAGCTAGATTTCTTTGATTATAAGACTTGGTAGTAGATTAATATGTTGGGATTTTGGATGATTTATTTATAATTGATTGTTTTTCTCTTGATCAATATTGTTCAAAAGAACTTGATCAATTTTTTCTTTTGTCCTTATTCCATGTTTAGAACTTGATCAATTCTTTTACATGTTTGACAATATTGTTCATAATTCGAGAGATGAGTTCAATATTAGGCCTTTAATATTTGACACAATTTACTTGCTCGAATCAAGAGATTAGTAGGTAATTGTGAGGATTTTAGATCTTTTAATCTATTTGGAGTTGAATTGCATGTGTTGAGTGGAGACGCTAATATATGTGATTTAATCTACGGTTTTATCGATCTCGAGAGGGACGATAGGCTAATTTTGTGATCATCTTATAGGGTAGATAAAGAAAATAGTTAATTGTGATATATCTGAAGGAACCCAACTGTTAATTGAACCCATAGTCTTAGAATCTACCATTCCCATATATTCTTCTTAAGTGTTTTTGTAGTTGTTTTCTTGTTATCAATTTCTTATCTTTTGAATTATTTTCTTAGTTTAGTTAATCAATCTTATATTTGGTCGTCTAAATAAAATTGGCACTATCATAATCTAGTACTTGATTAATTGGTTGTTTGGTCTCTTGGGATACAACCTTGCTTGCCACATACTATGAGCGAAGCCGTACACTTGCGGTCTAGCTTTAAAAATATAGGCGAACAAGTTTTTGACGCCGTTGTCGGGGACCAATTTAATTAGTTGTATCAATATTTGGATAGGTAGTGAAAATTTTAATTTAGATATTTTTTATTTATTTGTGACATAATCTTTCTTATTCTTGATTTCAGGACGTGCATGTTAACTCGCTCTAAAAGTGCACCACTACAACCCCTGATTGACGAAGTTGAAGCATTCGCTAGACGCAATAGTGCAACAACTAGAAAAAGAAGGGGCAAGTCAAAGTGCATAATGGCAGAGCAAGAACAACAGAAGCAAGCGATCAGTGACCACTTTCGGCCTGAATTTAATAAGAATTTTGGCGGGATTGCGCATATACCCGTCAATGCAAATAATTTTGAGTTGAAGCCTTCCTATATCTCGATGGTGCAGAACAACCAATTTGGTGGACACCCGACCGAGGATCCAAATCAACACTTGACCCAGTTTCTGCAAATTTGTAATTTGGTCAAGTACAATGGTGTCTCCGAGGATGCCATACGGCTGCGTCTATTTCCCTTCTCTCTAAGGGATAAAGCTCGAAGTTGGTTGTCAATGATTTCTGATGGGAGCATTAAGACTTGGGAGGAGTTGAACCAGAAGTTCTTGCTTAAATATTTTCCTCCAAGCAAGTCGATGCAACTAAAAAGCGAGATTACTCAATTCAAGCAGCAAGACTCGGAGCCTTTATACGAGGCGTGGGATCGATTTAGAGAGTTGTTGCGAAGGTGCCCTCGACATGGTTTTCCAGATGATCAACAACTTTGTTTCTTCTATAACGGGTTGTTGGGGCAAACAAGAGCCTTCGTAGATGCGGCTGCTGGAGGAGCTTTATTGGCTAAAACACCGGAGGAAGCCTCCAATTTATTGGAAGAGATGGCGGTGAATAGTTATCAGTGGCCTTCCGAGAGGTCGAGCATGAGACGAGTGGCGAAGGTGATGTCTTCTGATCCAATTAAGGAGTTAGTAGCTCAAATGTCGTCATTGACGACGAAATTGAATGCTTTGACAAAAGGAGCTGATGAGATGAGTGGAGGACAAGGCAATGTGTTACCATTGGATCCCTTAGCAGAGGCTAATTATATCAATAATCGAAACTTCAGCAATTATCGTCCCAATCCGGTGTCGGGTTTCTATCACCCGAATAATAGGAATCATAAAAATTTTTCCTATGGAAACACGAAGAATGTGCTCCAACCACCACCGGGGTTCAAGGTGGTGAATGGCGAGATTGTTGAAGAGAAGAAGACGGACATGGAGAATATTTTGGCTACCTTCATGAATGAGACGAGAAATCATTTCAACAAGGATGAGGAGAAATTGGACAAGATCGAGAATCATGTGA